GAATAAGAATATGAACTGGCAACTAGACAATGGAGGAAGACATTTGCAAATATCGCATCTGCTAATAGTTGAGCATTCTTGAGGCTGGAGAGATGGTTCAGTGGTTAAGTGTACTGGCTGCTCTTCCACAGGACCCCGGCTCAATTCCCAGTACCTACATTGCAGCTCACAGCTGTCTGTGACCCCAGCTCCAGGGAATCTGACACATCAATGCACACAAAATAAAGTTAAATAAATTATATATAGAAAGGAGTTGAGCATTCAGAATGTAGAAAAGCTTCTTGCAACTCAGTATTTAAAAAGACTAACAACCAAGATAAAAAAAACAGAAAAACAATCTGATCAGATATTTCTGCAAAAATATGAAAACGACCAGCAGATAGAGACCCTGCATAATTAATATTAGGAAAAATGCAAATCAGAAATCGCAACAAACACTTCCTGCCTGCAGCACAGCTATATGAAAATGACAGACATTAGCAGCTGTCAGAGAGGATATAGAGACACTGGAACCAAAATACATGCCTGCATGGGAATGCAGCCACCTTGGGAAGATGGTGTGACAAGTCCTCAAACTGTTAAACACAGCATTGCTATGTGACCTAGCAATTCCCAAAAGAAGTGAAAACTTTTCTACATAGGAACTCACGTTCAGATGGATGTTCATGGCAATGCTATTCACACTAGTCAGAAATAGGAAACAGTCCAAATGTCCATCATTTTGGGATCAATTAAGCAGAATGTAGTAACCCAGATGGTAGCATGTCACTGGACAACAAAAAGAAACAGCGGTGACACATGCTATGACTAGGATTGATCTCAAGATCATTTATGGTGTTTGCAATCAGTGAAAGAAAGAAGACTACCTAATGCATGATTCCACGTATAGACAAAGGTTCCCTTGGATTTGAACTTGGGATGGTTACAAGGGAAGACAGGCAGATGGATTCAGGACTGCTGTGTCTAGATCTTAGAGAGTGGACGAAGACTCGGGAAATAGAAGATCTCAGAGGATGAACTAATCTGTTTCTTGCATGCCAGGTTCAGACATCTACCATCATTCTACAAGAAGGTGGTCTCTGGGAGCTACTGCCTGGGTTATTTGGGCTCTGCCTGGCTGTTTTTCTCATGGAGAACTTAGGAGATCAAGCTTAAATTATAAGCATGATGCCTGGTATAGTGTGACTTTGCCAGAAACAAGGGGAAGTGTCCGGGATTCAGGAAGTATGGTGTCTCTGAAGTTTCTCTTCAATTCCAGAAACGTTTTCTATTTTTAAGGGCTCTTGAAGAGTAGTAACTACTTTGATCGCACATGATCCTATGTAGGTCAAACATCAGCTTTCTTCTTCATAAGCATTTCCTCTGAGCGTCGGGTGTCTGCTTTCAAGTTTAAGGCAGCCTTTTAGTAGTATCATCTCTTTTAAATCTGGATCAGAACATGAATGTTCTGGAGAGGTTAAAACAACTTGGGTAACCATTACAAGACACACTCATACATTTTAAGATCATGGCATTCCCCAATATAGGAAACCCTGCAGTGTAAAATTCAGCCCAAGCTGAGAACACTTAGTTTTCCCCACTCTGATTAACCTGATAAGAATTAAGAAGAGCTATTTGGAGAGGAGGAAGTTTCATATCCAAAGAGATTTTCTTTTCCATCTGAGTCTTCCTTGAACTCCATTACGAAGAGACTTGTGAACTGTATTACCACCTTCAAAGACAACGCTGGCTCTGCTGCAGGTAACAGATTACCATGTAGCATCCCTGTTTTAGTTCAGAGAACGTATAGGAACTGTGCATAGCCAGGGAACCTGGAGACAGAGCAAAGTGCACGTTCAGACAGGAAAAAGCAAGCGCTGGGAAACTGAAGGTTTTTTATTCCCATGGTGAAAGCTACCGAGAAAACAAGAGAGTAAAATTCCTTTGAAAAGGGCTGGTACCTGGACGGAATGCAATATTGAAATGCACCCTTAACCTCTTCAGATCCAACATGAGGCAGCACCAGAAGCCAGGAAGATAAGCACAATCTTCATCCCAGACCAGGTGCCCAACCGTGTAATCAATGAAAGGCAGAATCGTCTAATGTTGATAATCAAACTTTTGGGTCAGCCTGCCTGAGTTCAGATCCCAAAGTCTTGGCATCCTGTATGTCATAAGGCAATACTGTCTATTACCATACATTATTAGAATTTATCAATAATTAGTTATTGTCATTTGTTAAAAAAGAGAGTCAGCACTGGCTGAGCTGGAACTAAATGTGAATTCTGTATTTTATAATGAATATGATAACATAGGGCTGCTGGGAGGATGAAAATGAGCTTGTGTGTGCATTGCTTATAACTCATAAGAATGGCATATTTCTTGTCAATAAATATTAAGTACCATCATTTATTGAGTCCCAGTTACATTCAGAGAATGTACCAGGTATTGGAGAGAGACAGTAGTGAATAAGATAGAAAAGGCTGTGCTGGAAATGTCTTTAATCCTATCACTCAGGAGGCAGAGGAAGGCTGATCTCCATGAGTCTGAGGCCAGCTGGCCTACAGGACTACATAGTAACATTCGGGAGAGAGAGAGAGACAGAGAGAGAGAGAGAAAGAGAGAGAGAGAGAGAGAGAGAGAGAGAGATTGGGGATTGGGGGGAGGGAGGGATGGATGGTTGGACAGACAGAGTACATAAAACCAAGAAAAGGATGCTGTGATGCTGTGATTGGAATCTTATCATGCCATGGCATGTGTGGTCCAGAGGCAAGTGATATCATTCTGGAACCATCACAACATCTATTTCCTCTCTGCAATGATAGCAAGCTGATTGATTTATAACAAAGATGGGAAGTCTGAATGCCTACCCACAAAAGTAAAAGAGCAATTTTCAACTGTGGGCAGAATCATGGCTGCCTAAATGAAGCACTCTTGCTGAGAGCAGTTGATAGGGAGAGATAAGCCTGTCAGCTCTCACTGGCTCTCAACCAGGAGGTGCTGAGCATGCTCATGGATGGCTTGGGAGTAGATGTCTTAGGAAATAGAAGGCAACTGTGACATGATGGGATTTTCTGTCTCCTTTCAGTCCTTTTAAACTTTACTGGGATTGAGGATGCAGCTTCACCATGCATTGTTAGTATTTGGTTGAGAGGTGGTGGTACCACAGGAGTCAAGACTAGTCCTAAAATCTGGGAAGGCCTGTGGCTGGTCCTCTGATGAGCAACTTTGAGGAATTGATCCATTACCCTTCTTGATGGAGGTTGAAGGGACAGTTTAATCAGTTTGTCCTTTTCTCGTTAGTTGAAAGAGACTTCACTTAGGACTGTAAGGACTTTAGATAGAGCAAAGTATTCTCTGTCATATTTTTAGATTTTCTGTTTTGCTTCACGAGACAGGGTTTCTCTGTGTAGTCCTGGCCATCCTGGAGCTAGATTTGTAGATCAGTCCGACCTCAAACTCAGAGACCAACCTGCCTCTGTCTCCTGAGGTGAGTACTGGAATTAAAGGCATGTACCAACATCACCCGGTTAATAATTCCCTTTCTTTCTTTCTTTCTTTCTTTCTTTCTTTCTTTCTTTCTTTCTTTCTTTCTTTCTTTCTTTCTTTTATTAGTTTTCATTATTGTGTGTGATGTGTATATGATGCTTGTATTGGGTTCAAATGACAACATTTGGAAGTGATTGCATGTTTCCACCCTGGATTCTCAAGATCAAGCTTAGGCTGTCAGGCTTTCATGACAAGTGCATTTACGAGCTGAGCCAGCTTGCTGGCCTGACATCCTGTATTTTCTTCTTCTGGTATGATTACGTTCCTTGGGATGATACCTTCCATTTTATACCTCTGCTGCATTGAAGGGGCATTTGAAGGACACACTGTAATTAATATACTCATTGAAATTCTGTTCTCTGAAATCTGTGGTCTTCATAGACTCAGTCTTGAGACATTGAATCAATTACCTGTGATTATTTGTCTACTCTTTAAGGAACTAGAATCTGTCTTGGGGGAAGGCAGTAAAACATAAACCAAACAAAAACATATGGATAACCTCCCGTCAAGCACACATGAATTTTGAAATAGCCTGGTGTATATATGGGGTTTTTCCTATTGTTTCTTTAGGTACTAAATATTTAACTGAAATTTATCCTATTACATTATGAGAGGCTGCCAATCACCTTAAGTTCAGCAGTTGGAAGGCTGAATGGGCTCAAGTCTTTATATATGACCTTGATATATCCTAATACCTGTTGAAACTCACTGCTGTGTTCTGAAAACATGGACTTACTAGGGTCTCAAGAGTCTCACATGGCAAATGCTGAAGGCACCCACAAACATGTAGAGTGGTTATGGTATACTCCTTGCAATTTCACAGTTTCCTTCCTACAAGGAGAGCTGAAGTTGAACACCAAGAGCTTAATGATGGTAGGCTCCATTGAGTTATTGTATGATCTGTTACAGGTAATTTTTTGTTCCTTTCTCCTATCCTTTCCTACCATTTACTATGGTCTGGCTCAAGAGATCTATCTAAATTACAAATTGAGAATGTGCCCATGTTATTTCACTGATTTAAAAGTCATTAATTACTCCTAATTGCACACTGAAGAGGCTTAACCTGCTTTGTCATCTTGGGTCTTACATACCGTGGCCCTGAGGTGGTGCCCTGCTTCCCTACTTCCTGTCCTATCATTTTCCGCCTTAAACACCAATCCCAGAACAGCAGGCATCCAGGGATAATGCTTCTGTGCGTCCGTCCATGCTGCCCCCTCTATCTGAAGGCTCTTTCAGCATCCTTTACCAGGTTCATTCAGCTCCATTGCTGTCTCCTCCAGGAAACTCTCCCCGACTTCCAGATCCAGGTAAAGAAAGGCCAGGCACTGAAGTACATAGCTCCCAGGCTATGTACTTGTTTGTCCTGCTCTTGTTGCCAATCTCCAAGTGATCTGTTCACTAGATTCAGAGCTATTTGAAAGCAGCTGGGATACCTTAATGTATTTGTTTCCCAGGTAAAGAATGACGTGTTTGGTGTTTAGTGACTCTTTGAAAAAAGAAAAAAAGAAGCTACTTAGTTATGAAAACCGAAGATTTGATGATGGACGTTATTGCAAATTTGGAAAGCAGAGAACCTAAATATTGCAGTGAAGGCAATCTGGGAGGAAGAAGAGTAGGATGTTGGTTACTAGCACCCTAGTGCTGGAGCATCCAGAGAGAAGCTGGACCCAAGCAGGAACAAAGTGCAGAGGGCTGCAATTTCTGCTGCCAAAGTTGATGCCTAAGGTAACAAAATGAGAAAAATGCCATGTTTTCCCCTGGCTCTCTGCCCTTCATCCATCCTCCTGCTGGGGGATTCCAGTGGCTACATCTAGCTGGAAATCTGTCTAATGACATGGCCTGTGATGAAAGAGTTCTTAGGGCAATCATCCTGCTGGGAATATAAAGGAGAGATGGGAAAGAAGGCTGCCTAATGCGCCTTTTGCATTTGTTTATGCCTTCAACCAGACTTTACTCTGGATACACTGGGGCAGCCAAAGAGAAGCTGGCCCAAGCAGGTTCAAAGTACAGATGACTGGAACTTCTGCTTCCAAAGACGATGCCTGAAGCAGAAAAACAAGGATAAAAATGATGCTTCCTCTTGATTTCTACCCTGAATCCATCCTCCTGCTGGGAGATGGGGGGGTCCCATGAGTGCAGTTGCTCATGACTGTTTACTTGACTGGCAAGCACAACGGATGATGGTGACTTGTAGACCACATCTGCATGGATGTCACAGTGTCCACTGCCAGTGAATGGTCACCTCTTCTCAGTCTTCATGCCCGAAGGACATTATGACTCACAAAAGCCCTAGTGGCATTATCGGAATGTAGAAAAAGATGGTTACTGCAGATACATTACCCAAGTTTTCCTAATGAAGAGAAGCATGCCACTTTAGTGTCACAGAGGGGCTGAGAACAGAAGGGCATAGTTGGAAGATTATTAGTGTGAAAGTTGGTGGACAATTCCAGACACGCATGTGAAAAAGACTTTTCATTTCAAGCAGCTAAGGAATGGAGCTTAAATGATCCTTTCATGGGATTAGATTACTTGATACCTTAACGATAAAATTTAATGTCTTTCGATAGACATCACTACCTATGTCATACTACAAGGATAAATATGTCACAGGAATGAAATATTAAGCGGCTCTTACATCCCCCAAAGAGTTCCATCTATGTGTATGCATTGTTACTTCTGTGACTCTCATGTGTACCAGTTTTGTTTTCAAACTACAGTTTTGTTTAACACATCTAAAATAGTCCTACATATTTGCAAACACAGAGAATATACATAAACAGTAAATTTCATGCTTGTTTGTAGCACTAAGCAAGTACCCTTTTGTATTAATTTGAGCTTTACAAGTTACAAAGTAATCATTTTAAGAGTCACCTTTTAAGATGATTCAATTGAAAATAGTAACCATCTACATTCAGAATTCACATGCATCTTTTAAAATGGGGGGAGTCAGATGCGGTGACACATGACTGCCATTTCAGCACTCAGAAGGCAGAGGAAGGAGGGTCACATATCTGAGGCTATCCTGGGCCATATGGTGAAATTCTGTTTTCAGTGACAAAAAAAAATTGGAGTGTCTCAAGGCACGGAGGTAACAAGTCTTGCTTACACTGGTGATTATTTAATCACATGGGTATTGAGTGCAGATTCTTTCCCATTGTTAACATCTGTACTTGGCATGTAAAAATACATAGATTTGAGAGCACTTGATTTGCCTTCAGCATGCACTTACCAGCGCTGGAAAGGCATTTCCTGATCTCTTCACACATCTACCACTGTTCTCTTATCATCTGTTCTCTCCCCAGGGCCCATAATAGCATCTGACATGGAGCAAGCTCTCACAAAGCACCTGTTGGCTCACTCACCGAGTTACTACCTGCACAAGTCTGGAATGAAATGTGGGACAGATGAAGTGAGCGGTTCTACTGGAAAGCCCTTCCCAGGAAGAGCCTGCCCTGATCTCTTTCCATTCCACTGATCTTGGCCAAGATTTGAGCATCCACTAATGCAGTGGTTCTCAGTCTGTGGGTCTTGACTCTTTTAGGGGTCCAATGACCCTTTTACAGGGGTCACATATCAGATATTTCCATTACTATTCATAACAATAGCAAAATCACAGTTATGAAATAGCAACAGAAATAATTTTATGGTGTGTGGGGGCCACCACAGCATGAGGAACTGTATTAAAAGGTCACAGCCTTAGGAAGGTTGAGAACCATGGCACTAATGTGTGCAGGTACTCAAGGAAGAGGGAGCCTGTTAATTGCAAGCTGTTTTTCAGTTTTGCTGAAAGGGTTCTACTATCAATTATGACACAGGGCTAAGGAGAAGGAAGTCCTATCTATGTGGCCATATATTTCAAGATGTCTAATTTGTTTGCTGTAATAAGGCCAGGCTCTGTTATTGATGAATCAGTCATCTGTGTCTTGTATACTAGAGGATACCACCTAGGTCTGTCTGTCTGCATAATGGTGGTGCACACAGAGATGGGTGCTGGGCTGTATATTATTAAACTCTATAAACATGTTGAACATTAATTGCTACTGCTGGGCAAGGAAACATTTTTTCCCTCTTTGTGATAGAGTTAAGTAATTTATACAGGATGACTCAAGCCCTGTCTCTCAGCAGCTGGCAAAACGCTGCTAAATCAATCCATATGGCTGGCCTCTCTGCACAAGAATCAATTGTATGTCCTGCATGGGTGAATGACACGGGGCATCCGAGCTGCACTGAGTCCTTTCTTGCTGTAAATGGACTAGCCCTAGAGGTTCTGTCTCCACATACCTCAGGAGGATGAGGGTAGAAACAATTACAGGGTCAATTTAAACACAAAATAAATGCTTACCTCAGTTAATTCAAGTGAATTGAACTTTTCCTAGATTTTCCTTTCTGTGTGTGTTCTACCTCCAGGATCTAAATATTGGCCTTAATGCCCCATTTCACTTTGGCGGCACAAACATCTTGGATCAGAGAAAACATAGCTTCTTGTAAAGGCAGGAGGTGAAGCCTAGGGGGCAGGCCAGGGATACGGGGCTGGAACTCTCAGCTCTGGAGAACAAGCATGGGAGAGCTCTGCAGCCTCCCATTCCTTTCCTAGTACAGCTTCAGACCCACTTTAACTCTTTTTATTTTCATCATAGTTTTCCAACAAACGTGTCACTTTTGAGATCTCTACCAAGGACAGCTTTTAAGGAATGTGTGTTTTCAAAGCAGCTGCTCTCCCATTCTTTCTCTGTCACTGGCTTTGCTCTGTCTGATTCCAATGTATTACGGAGCAGTAACATAACCTCACCTTAATTGTAAATGCTCCTATCTATTTTCCAAACAAAAGAGTGCACCTGGCCAGGAGCCTTTGCTTTCTTCTTGCTTCCACAAGTGCTATTCTTGCAGAGTTGTTAATATCAAATTAGGATATAATCTGAGCCACAGAGATTTATCAAATTTTGACAACTTAGGTTCTAACAAAAGTATATTAGGGTAATATCTTGCCTTTTCTTTAATGAGAAATAGGAAAAAATGGATGATATTAGCATGCTATGCTTGAGTCACGTGCATTTGTTTTTTCATTCTTCATTTTCCATTAGTGAGTTTAAACTGGGAAACCAGGATGACCCAAGTTCTCACCATGCTTGACGAGAACACTTGGTTTTGGCTGTTTCTTCTATCCAAGCCTGATTCTGATATCATTACTCTCTTTTTTAATAGAAGAGGAGCAGAAAGGTACACGTCTCCCACTGTTTTAGTTTATCTATGGTACAGACAGCTATAGAAAGCACGTGGTATAGAGGCAAAGTCATATGACTAAGGCCCCATTTACTGTATCCCTTTGGTGGTGACAGTTGGCCAACGAGTGGGTTAGAATCTCAAGTCCAGGGAATGCGAATTTTCCCATACCATTTTAAAACATACCCACTACCCTTTGGGTGGCAGAGATAGTCTCAGTCTGGGATCGAGTAACTGTGCATTTAGAACCCTCTAGCCCACCATCTTTCAGGGAGCCCATGCTGACTAAAGTCCAGAGTGGCAAGAAGCAGGCTGTATGGAGAAAGAATGTGAGAGGAAGCTGAGTAGAATATCCAAGTACCCTTACTCCTTAGTCTCATGGAAACAGCGCCTTCCGGGTACACTCCTACTGCTGGCACCTTAGTATAAGGCTGCTCTGCTGGCTTTGAGTAGATTTTTCAATCACTCATAAGCAGACAGGTTCAGTTTAATAAACACATAGTTTTTGTGTGATGTTTTACTCTTTTGGCTTTTTGAGGGGCCCACCACCCAGTTCCCAAATAAATCACACACAGAGTCTTACCACTTTGTGAATGCCTAGCTCTAGGTTGGATTGTTTCTAGTCAATTTTCCTTAAATTAACCCATGTACCCTTTTCCTCTGGGTTTATCTTCCTTACTTCTGCGTATCTTACCTTCCTTCTTACTCTGTGTGACTAACTGGGTGGCTTGATGGCTGGCCCCTGAAGTCCTCCTCCTCATTTCTCTTTCTATTATACCCTCTGCCTGCCAGCCCTGCCTACCCTTGCTCCTGCCTCACGACTGACCATTCAGCTCTTTATTAGACCATCAGGTGTTTTAGACAAATGCAGCAAAAACAAAAATCATATACCTTAAAATAATATGCTACCATACCACATTGATGCATTAAGCATCAATTGCTGTCTTATTTGACTGTGGGTTACCCCCAAACTCTCAGCTTCTTGAGACACTCAGGGCTTAAGAAAGGACGGAACAGCCGTGGGGTTTAACCTGCCTGAAGGAGAAGGAGTGGGGCGCCCTTACACAGAAGCCCCGGAAGTCACTTTCCATCTTAACTAACACAGCCGTGTTTTCCAGTGTTTTAATATATGACTTTTCTTTCCCCCAGTTCCTTTCTTCTTTCTTAGGCAGCTTTTAGCAGTTGCTTCACTAATTTCTTGTTCACATCTTCTGTCCCCTCTGTTTCCCATCTTTTTAGATACAGATGTATGAATGGCATTTCTTACTAAGCCATGCTGACAACTGCCTTTCATCTTGGTGACTGGACAGAGGACAAGCAGCAGTATGTCTCCCCCAACTCCCTAGGAACACAGAGAATACTCAGTCATAATCATTTGATGACTAGGTGACAGAATCTTTGATCTCATCCTTTGTCTCCTGACTTCTACAGACTCAGGACCGTGTTTGGGGAAGACTCTTCTTCTTTGAAGAAGGCTTAAGGTCTGGCACTAGCTTTTAAAAAATTAAAAAAAAATATTTTGAAAATCCCAGATATGATTGCTATATTTACATCATTTCTCCCTACCTCTGGTGCCTCCCTACCTCCTATATCTCTCCACTCCTCAGATTCATGACCTTTTATTCTTTAATTATTATTGTTTTACACACACATATATTATATATACATTACATATGCACATATATACATATTTAAGTACATTCTGATGAATTCATATAATATTCATATGCATTCAGGGTTGACAGTTGGGGATTAGATTACCTACTAGGGGTTTTGTCCCTGGAGCAGACTAATTCTTGCCCTCTCAACACTCATTAACTGCCTGTAGCTCTTCATCGGATGGTGGGGTCTGTGAGATTCCTCTAATCCACATTGCGGTGTTAATGAATGGTGTAATTTTTCAGGTCTTGTTTGGGCAGCCATGCTGTTGAGGTTTCATGGGTACAGCTCCCCTATCAAGCACAGAAGGCACGATCTCGCAGCAGATGCCCGTGTTCTCTGGCACTTAAAATCTTTCCACACCCTCTTATGCAATGTTTCTCAAGCCTTAGATAAAAACATTGTGTAGCAGATGTAGCAACTGGTGTTGGGTGTCCCATGGCCGGTTGTTTTCTGCCTTTTGACCAGTTGTGGCTTTTTGTAATGGTCTCTGTCTGCTACAAAAAGATGATTATTTGATGAAAATTGAGAGCTGCACTTACCTGTGAATATAATGATTCATATTTAGAATGCAATATGTAAGGATACATAAGGATTCATGTTTAGAATGCAGTATATAAGGATATATATGGATACATATTTAGAATACTGATTTAGGGAAGTGACAGTAGTAGGATCTCCTCTGGGATTGTGGCCTTACTGGCCAAGTAGTAGGCCGAATTTACCATATCCGACATGAATTCTCTCATCTTGAGCAGGCCTTGAGTCTAATTAGACAGTTGTTGGTTCCCCTCAGAATTTGATGTGGCTCTGGCATCCCTCAGAATATCTTGCGGTTATGGCCTTTGTTGTGGTCTGTAGGCATTATGACTGTGGAGGACTATTGGTGTCTTTCTTTTCTCATTGGCAGCTTGTGCAGAACATGCTGGTGATATGAAAGCCAGTCCTCAGGGAGGAGACTTCCAACCTGATTTCTCCAAGACCTCTGTGTTGTCTTGAGCAACAAGGTCTTATCTTCAATTCCTGGTACCAAATGCTACTGCTATAACCTATCATTTTAGGGGTGTTACCTGGATTCCCCTGAACAATGTTAAAGAAACTTCCACATGCCTGACATACACAGACATACAACGCACTTGTGTGAGTGCACGTGCGCTCGAGTGTGTGTGTGTGTGTGTGAGAGAGAGAGAGAGAGAGAGAGCGTGTGTGTGTGTAGTTGTAAGTCAACACAAAATAATGTGATTTCTTATGACTTTCCCAAACATCCTTAGGGTTATTTATTTCTCCTCCTTTTCTCTCCCTGTGTTACTATCCCTCCCATTTCTCCAGGTAAGTTTTCCCACCTAGTGTTTTCCATTTCCCCTTCATAGCACCTATGCCATTAACTTTGCAATATGGCCTCTGGAATATGAGTTACAGCTGACAGGGTGTCGGGGGAGCACTTGAGTATCCCATCCAGGAGAGGGTGGCCTCTGTCTCCCCCATTATCTCTATTATCATCCTTCAGTTGGGTCAAGTTTCTGTTTAGTAATGTGTTGTCCCAGTATAGGGGCAAGTAATTTTTGACAGCTACTGAGAAGAAGTGTAGAGTGTTGAGTTCCTTGAGGAGGCTCGAGGCCTGAAGTCTATAGGTTATCATCCATATATTTCATGATAACATTTACAGGGGCTAAAGATGGCAGAGTGTACTAAGTTCTGTCCTTTAAAGCCAGAGAGCCTGGGCTGTGAGACTCAGCTTTGCTCCTTAGAGAACATAGGCTCTGAGTGTGATACTTAAGTGTTTTCCAACCCTCAGGCTGAAGTTTATGAAATGAAGGGCATGGCAGTACTTGCTTCACAGGCTCATTGTGTGAGTCACAATAAAAATGAGATGAGAAATATAAAACTGCTCTGTAGATGAAAAGGAGTGGCTTAAATACAAGGCATTATAATCTGTCAAGATGCCATGCTTGGGAAATAGTACCTTTTGAGACAAAGTTTAGCATAGAAATCAATTTTGCCTTGTAGGAGATAATTGGAGCTCCCTGCCCCCTGTTTTCAAGAAGAATTTAGGAACCAGCAATTGGAGGAGGTAGAAGATGCTGCTATTAATTGTTCATAGGTTTTGTATCTTTTAAAAATGAAACATTTATGTCTATACTATTGGGATGCATAACATCTGTGGCTGAGCCAGTCTGTGCATTCATTGTGAATAATCGTAAGCAGAGAAGGTAATTGTTATTCTCCATAAAAATTGTTAATAAGCACTTGCTAGTGTGACTCATTCAGAATTGTTGGTTGAGGTTGTATAGTCTCAAGAAACTATGTGGGCATGGAAATAAATAGTTCTGCTGGTCATTGTGCCTGTGCCACATGCTTTCCCTGGTTTTTGTTGGGTATCAGTTTTCCTCCTTGAGGTAGGTAGACCCTAATAACACACACACACACACACACACACACACACACACACACACACACCTCTTCCTACACAAA